GACACGTTGTGAAAAAATCTGAAAGCACAGACCGAGGTAAACTGCTCCCCATTCAATTTCCCGGGAGGGTTCGCCTCCCCTCAAGGTTCAAAAGGAGACAGGGAGAAAAAGGAAACCAAGCTCCAGGGGAGGGGCCTCTAATCCACCCTTTCACAGGGCTCTGGAGGCAGACAATGGCTTCCGGCTCGCAGGGACAGTGGCCGAGCGGGCCTGCGCTCCCCATCGGACAAGAATGCGGAACAGCCTTAATCCCATAAGGGGAGCTGCGCACAATGGCCAGGCCCGGTCACCCCGGCAACGGGCCAGGGATGGCGTGCCCTCCGCCCCTCTCCTCCCCTGGAGCTGCATCCTTGAAAGAGGGGAGGCCCAGCTCTTGTGCCCTCCCGGAGCAGAACAGGGAGGACAATGGCAGCAGGAGGGACCTGTCGCCAGGGAGCCTCGTCCCCAAGATACGGGAGAGGCCCCCGCTGCAGCTGCCGGGGACAGGGCTGCACCTCAGCGCCTTTCTTTGCGACCCGCCCCCGCTTCTGCTCCAAACCACCCTGATGAGCCAAGCAGAAAAATCTCTGGCTGAGAATTGAACGGAGGGGTGGGGATGGGGAGGTGAGGGCCTGAATCCTCCTCCAACTATGAGGAGTCAACTTGCAGAATCATTCTTGCACACCCTTCTCTCCATACCCCCTTCTCTCCCTGAAGGGGAGATTTTATGGACTAGTTCTTTTCTAAACTTCCTTGTTTTAAAAATCAGACAGTAGATAAAAGTCGTATGAGCTCTTCAGATAAAGGGCCTTAAGTATTGTGTTAATAGACAGTAAAAGAAAAATCACATAAAAATCACACAACTAGTAATGAAACAAATAGTTGAGAGCTTAAGATGCACATATATGTAAGAACTAGGCATATTACAACTGTACACACAAACCTATACAAGGAGATAAGTCATTACAGGCTTAGTGGGGGTAGAGATCTAACAAAGATAAAGCCTAAAAGAAATGAGGTTCCCGGGGCGCCTGGGTGGCTCAGTCGGTTGAGCATCCGACTTGGGCTCAGGTCATGATCTCAAGGTTCGTGAGTTCGAGCCCCGTGTCGGGCTCTGGACTGACAGCTCAGAGCCTGGAGCCCGTTTCAGATTCTGTGTCTCGCTGTGTCTGCCCCTCTGCTGCTCTCACTCCGTCTCTTGCATTGTCTCAAAAATAAATAAACATTAAAAAACCTTTTTTAAAAGAAATGAGGTCCCCCCCCCAAAAAAAAGGGGTCTGAGCAGCGGTAGGAATCCCTGAGTGATTCTGAGAGAGAACACAAAAGTTGAGCCCCAAGATCCATTTCTTTCAACTCTGAAAGTCTAGGATTCCAACTCAGAGTTGTTCATCCTCAGTGAACAGTTCCATTCTTCCGCAAGCCCACTCGGGCCTCGAGGGCCAGGTCAAAGACCCCCGCGACACCCCCACATCCCTCCACCTCAAGTTATCCCCATTAGGTCCTAGGAGACTGCAGCTTGGTTAGCACTTCCTATGAAGGAAACAAGGTAAGTCATCAGGCCTCCAAGCAGAGCGATGTGTCACTGCCCTGGTAGGGCTGGGCCACTCTTCCCCCAACCTATCCCTGCCCCACAGGACAGGCCCCTAGCCATGTGCTGTCTAGCTTGTCATAGTAAAGAAGATACAGCAACAGCTCAGGCCTAGAAGGAGCTCGGCATCCAGAAAGCGTTCAACAACTGTTTACTGGTGAACATAAATCACAAATAAATAGTTATTGGCTAAGTCATCGGGCTGATCCCTGACTGATGTGACCAGTGCCCAGATAGGATTTTCTGCCCTTCTTCCATGGGTGGAGAGTCAGTCTCAGTTACAAGGACTAATTTGAGGGACCTTTGTTCTGATCTGCAAGTTGGTTGAGCAACCATTCTCTAGAATTAGAACAAACCAGAGCCAAGGAGGAGGGTAACAATTGCTGAATGGATCACCCAGAGGTAGGCAGGCCACATGCCTGGAGATAATCCTGGTTCATCCTGGTATAATTATTATTTTTTTTTTTAATTTTTTTTTAACGTTTATTTATTTTTGGGACAGAGAGAGACAGAGCATGAACGGGGGAGGGGCAGAGAGAGAGGGAGACACAGAATCGGAAACAGGCTCCAGGCTCTGAGCCATCAGCCCAGAGCCTGACGCGGGGCTCGAACTCACGGACCGCGAGATCGTGACCTGGCTGAAGTCGGACGCTTAACCGACTTCGCCACCCAGGCGCCCCTTCCTGGTATAATTATTAATAGAGCCCCTTTTACACCCAAAGTACCTGAGTTTAGATGACATGTTATGTCGCCACCCTACTCAGAGGGGGCAGGAAACCCGGGCACAACAATTATGTGATAATGTAAATGTGAGTACCAGATCAGGTATCTGATCCTTATTTGTCCCTATGGCACCACGCAACTCAAGACAAGTCACTTAAATGAGCTGGTTAACTAGTGTGGCTAGTTTTAATGTCCTCATCTGAAAAATGAAAGGGCATTTATTTATTCCTCAAACATCTGCTAAGAATTACTATGTGCCTGGTGCTATGCTAAGTGTTAGAGATTTAGACAAAATATGGATAGTCCCTGCACCAAGGCCCTCAGCCCAAGGGGAGGACTGGTAATTAAATCCATGCCAGTCGAGTGTGACGAACAGGACAGTTGAGGTCCCTGCCTGCCCAGGGGCTCCAGGAGTGCAGACAAGAGTTTTCTTTGCCTGGGGGAACAGGGAAAACCATCTCTGGGAGAAAACTTTGTTTTCGCTCTTAAAGGATGAGTGGGGTTTGCCAAGCCAGGGGGAGCAGGGGGCGGTAAGGTAGGGAGGTGCAACAGAGCATTATAGGCAGAGAGAAAGGTTTGCGCAAAGGCCAGAATGAAAGGAACCATTCATGAATTGGTACATCAGGACCTCTAAGCTCCCTTCCAAATTGTAGCATTTTCCGCTAAGGTTCTTCAGAAATGGGTCACCAGCTACTATGCCAGGAAGGTTCTGGCCAAAGATTGTTGTAACGGGTTTATTTCGATGCCCTAGGCTAGATCTATGTGAATCTGCCTGGGCAAAAAGTCCTATAGATGCTGGCCCACATTGCGAAGGGAGCAGGACTTATTCCCCACCCCCCACCCCATTTTGCAAATGGCAAATACTGAAGTCCAAAAAGGCACACTACTCTTCCAAGGTTCCCTGACGCACCGAGGCGGGATTACAGTGCAAGATGGAAGTGTTGCCTGCAGAAGCGGCCTTCTCGGAAGACAAAATTTCCCTGCAGGTGCCCTGCCCTGCCTCTAGCTCCCTGCTTCCCACCCCTGGAGAAGGGAATGCCTCGCACCCTGCCTTGGGCCCGTGCAGCGCAGCGCCACCAGCAGCCCCGTCCCACTTAGAGACACACAGACCTGC